TTTTCTGAATTTCATGCTTTTGGTTCTTATGCTAAGAGTAGGGCTCATGCTAGAAAGCAAAATTTTGTGAATCAACCCAAAAATTCTCATGCTAAAAATTACTAAAACAAGAAAAAAGTTGAAATTGAAAAATCTTTTCAAAAGTTGAATGTAAAGACTGTGGATCAAAAAGGAAGACTTGGTTAATTATGTACCTGTTGATGCTATGAGACTTGTTTCTATCACGTCTATGGGTACAAACCCCTCTAACTAATTCCTACAAAGGTTCCATAGTCATGGACTATACTTTGATGAATATCTTGTTTCCATTGGACCATATCTTGTAGTTTAGGATTTAGGTTGTTTTTCTTTTATGAGAAAATGATGATCATATTTTTCTTGTCAATGCATGTGTAATAATTATTTCTCTTGAATTAATTATTTTTGAATACAAATTGGAGACACATGATTATTTGATGAAAATGTTCTTCATATGTAATCTATATGTTGAAAGACAATTTGCTTTGTTTATTTCTTTTTAAAGATGAGTCCCTTGAATTCATATTTTTCATGTGCACTAGTCCAAATCTGAAAAATTTAATTGAAAATCATTGTGAAGTTGACTAGGTCATATTGCTCATAAAAATTATAAAGATTATTATTTTTTTGTAATAATAAAAAAAAGAGCATGTGTTTGAGGAAAATAAAAAAAAATGATAAAATTTCAGTATGAAAAGAAAAGATAAATCAAAAGAATGCTAAAAATCTTTACTAAGGAAAATGCTATCTATTGAAATTAGTTCGAAAGCTCTTACTAGACTTTGAAGAAGAGCCGATTAAGTTAAAAAAAAAAAAAAAGAGGAGGGAATAGGGAATTGTTGTCTACTCTTTAGAGTAAAAGCTGCCTTGCTTAGAAAGGTTTGCTTAAAACAATCTTATCTTGATGCTTTCGATCAATATGGTTTAGACAGTTGACCAATGTGATTTGATTGAAAATTTAACGATATTGGATTGTGCACACACACATGTGAACTCGTTAGGCAAATTTCTAAATTTTCATAAAAATTGCAAGTTGAATTTCATGTTGTGATTGCATACTTGAGAATTGACTTGATTGAATAATTTGTGGTGTCTAAAAATTTCATGTTTCTAAATTCTCTTAAATTCTTCAAAAAAATTTGGATCTCATGTATGCTTAAAATTCATGGAAATTGTTATATCATAATTTTTGTTCAAATGTCAGAAAAATAAAAAATTAAAAAATTAAAAAAATTTGAAAAATGAAAAAAAAAATGCCAAAAAGATTTTCCTTTTAGTTTTTATCAGGAATTTTTTTTTTTAATTTTATTGAATGGAGATATCATGTGTGTGACTTTGAGCTTGATTGGTGGATGGAACATGTGTTATCTTGGATACTTGTATTTGGTTCCATTCTATTGTTGAGGCTGAAATTTGCGCAGTCCAATACGATACCGTTTTCCTGCAAGGAAGAGAGGAGAAGATCGATGAACCTTGACGGCACCGGTATGGTGCCTGCCAAGAGCTCTCTGACGATCAAATTAGTTACAGAGGTCTAAAAAGAGGGCAGGGATCAATAATAGTTTTTACATCGTACTTTCTTTAATGGCTTGGTGCCCTATTTATCGCTGTCGATTGAAATCAAAATCGTTCCGCCGATGTCGATGGTTGATCTTATCTTCCGCTTGTGTGAAATCATAGGAGATTTGTTGCTAGATTTGTCGAGAATATGATTTAATCCTTTTGACCTCCTCCAGTTATAATAGAATTATTCTTACCTGTTGAACCACGTCAGATTTCATTATCCTTGATAATGAAATCTAATCAATCTTATCGAGAGTAGGGTAGGTTTATATTTTTCCCTATCTTGCACGTCTAGCTTTGGGAATGTAATAAATAATATATATATTTTTTTTCTTTTCCTACCCCTGTGAACAGTACCCGCGGGTACTATTCACGTGAATAGTAACTCAGAAAATTTTTTATTTATTTATTTATTTATTTTTTGTACCCGAGGGAACAGTATCCTCGGGGTACCGTTCATGAATAGTAATTTTTTTTTTTTTTTGGGCATCCGAGGGAACAATACTCTTCCTTTGATAAGGGAATAAATTGTATGAGTTTCACTCCTTTAATAAGGGAATTGAACTTTTCGAGTTTTACTCAACTCGTCCTTTTAGTAAGGAAATTGAACTTTACGAGTTTTACTCAGCTCACCTCTTTAATAAAGGATTTTTGTTTACTATCCCATATTGTAAAGGGCAACAGTTGAAGCCTTCAAACTAGCTAGCCTTCATCCCGGGGATGATATTTCATAGGGCCTTGCGAAAAACCCCAAAGAACATAGGCAATTTAGGGCAAAAGCCCAAGGGTACATACAAATGGGTTCAGAAAAAGCGACCAGGATACAAAGAATAACCATGGTCATCGTAGAGAACCGATCATGTGATAAGATTAAAGGACACAAAACAATAGTTCAACTAATCCAGAGGCCTCCCAAATGATAGAAGGAGGAAGAAGCAATCACCCCTCTCAGAACCTCACTAGCCAAACTCTATCAAGAGAATAAAAACAAGTTTGTGGCCCCGCAACCGATCAGACAGTCGATCGAGCAACAAGATCGATCCAAGCACTGTGCCTTTCATTGCAACTTCGGTCATCAAACGAACAAATGCAGGAACCTCGGGAGACAAGTCAAGACGATGATAGCCAATGGGGAATGGGCAAAATATGTGTTGATGAGAGGGCAACCTAACCCCACTTAACTTATGAGGCCCAATAATCAAGCAAGGATGAATGACAGAGCAAATCCCTAAGAGGTTCAACCCGTTCGAATCATCGCCATCCACGAGCGTCCCAAAGAGGATGAAGAAACTAAGGAGTTACTCTGAACAAGCTTAAGACAGGCTCAGAAGCTTAGAAGAATAAACCGTGTTAATGCTGTGAAGAGAGTAGAAACATAGGCTCAGATCAGATTTGGGGAAATAAACCTCCAGAGGATGCGCCCCCCATGAGGTAGGTTTATTTTTTACACCACCCCCACCCCCCCTAAAAAAAAAAAATATAGTGGGTTATACAAGGCATTCTATCATGTTTATACAATTTCACCACTTAGTCCGATTAATATGCATTTTATTTGTTAACAAACAATTGTTTCTTGCCCAAATAAGAAATTTGCCAACATATATTTCATGATTATGTTAGAGGGCTAAGTCTTGGCGCAATGGTAAGGATGCTTAATCGTGACCTGGAAGTTATAGGTTCCAAACAATCAAACAGTCTTTCCACATGTAGAGGTAACAATGTATACATCTAACCCTTCCCAAACTCCACAATGGTGAGACCCTCGTGATTATGTCAATTCTTCATAACCCATTACCTTCAATAAGGTTTTCTTCTCCCCTCTCCCTCCCTTTTCTAATGGGGGGAAGCAACCTGGCACTTAAAACTCTTAGCATCAAGGGATGATGATGATGTAGCACTATAGTCACACTGATGCTTTTTTTAAGTGAAATTAAAATTCAATGTTTTTATTAAATTTATATTTATTTATTTTATCAGCATACAATGGACGAATGCTGTGATAGTTATGTATCGGTGTATAATTTAGTCTTTAGAGTTGAGACAGGAAAAGGCCTTTATATTTGATGGTAGCAGTGACTGCAATCTAATGAACAAAAACAATGCATTTCTTCAGATGTTTTGCTGAAAGCTCATTTACCATGGAAAAATATGACACGCCAGTTGACTATAGAGTTTGAGATTTAGTTCAGAAGTGCAGCTCAGAAGCAACTGACATCTGTTGATTCATTGCAATGGGAGATGCTACATTAGCATGGTAGGCAACTTAAGCGCTAATTTGCTTTAGATTTTGCAAATGAGGGGTAGGTTCTGTATTCTTAAAACTAGATTTGACTGCATTATCCAACTTAAGGGCGGGCTTAACCATGGACAAGATGCCAAATTTCACGGTCCCTTACTATCTATCAAAGAGCAGATTTCTATGTCAGCAACTGAGACAGCAGTGCCCAAGATCATGCTTCAAACTGAAACTTAATGGATGCTAGGAAAGAGAACATTGGTCATAATGAGTGGAATTGACAGCTGATTGGGGAGCACATTGGTCTAGGAAGAAGAGTTACACGAGGGTGAATTGGAGATCCTATATTTAGAATTGGAAGCAAACCTCAAAAGGGTGACTTATAAAGTCTTGTGGTCTCTAAATTGATTTCAGTCAGATGCTTTACCTCAGATCCTTATGAAGACGAAACGGATAAAATTGTTGAATAAATTCCAGTGACTATACTTCGTATAAGTTTCCTATTGTAAGCAAGTCATGGAAGAATGATTTAAAAGGGTCACTAGATTGTTCCACTGCATAAATCGTAAAATGATATTAGTGTTACTTTGCACAGGTTCACATTAAATAAACTATGAAGAGAAATTGTACAGGAATAGTTCCCTATTCTATCAAACAAGTGGAAAAGATGAGTTCAAATGGATTAACTAAAATGTTTTTCACACTCATTTACTAATTCCAAGATCACCCGATGTGGAACATAACACATGTACATGTCCATGACAATAAGGTGAAGTACTACTAATAGCATTTTGCCTCAATTCTGCAATTAGAAATGATGAAAAGAAATTCGATCAGTGGTACCAATGCCATGAGGTGCAATCCTCATGGTTTTTGTAGTAAGAAAGGAAATATAACTACTGATTAGATTGTGGTGGTAACATCTAAAATCAAACTGTATTGTCGTGCATGTCTGGAGGCCAATTAACATGATCATGAAAAATAACTATGCGCAGATTACTATGAAATCCCACAGTAACTGCTTAAGGAATTGTTATAAAATGATAGATTGAAGCAGAACTGAATTAAATTAGCAATCTTCCAGCAACATACTGGAGTTTAGTTTATCTATATGCTTTAAATTAAAGATTAGGAGGAAGATCTTACAGAGTCAGAGTTGCACAAAAACCAATAAATTATTCAGCTAAATGTGTGAATGATTAATTAAAGGCCGTGATAAACTTTCAATGTTGGGAAATACACTGTGATCACACCCTAGAATATCAGGAAATCTTTTAAAGGCCGTGATAAACTTATTATCTGACTGAAATAAATTCTTCAAAATTTTGAAACATGGGATGATTTGGTTCTCCAAGCTTCGTGTCAATACAGTTGGGGAAAAGGATAATACCTTCACGAGCTCAGTGCTGGAAATGCCAGTGGAGTAGAAGAACTCGAATTTGGGCAAGAGGGTCTTCTTGGGATCCGATAAGAGAAGTTTTGGGCGTCTTGTGATGATAGCTGATATCTGGGTTTTGCTGAAATCATGGTTCTTGAAGAAGCTAAGAATGGAATCTGGTTTGTCTAGGGTTTTGAAATTGACGTGTTCAGAAGCTGAAATTACAGTTTCTGGACTCAACCCACATGAATTGATGAGGTAATTTACTGTAAATGAGTGTTGATTTGTGGAAGAAGTTGAGATGGATTTAAGAGATGAAGAAGATAGCTGATGGGTTTGAAGGGCATACAATTTATGGATTGTTGAATCTAAAAAACGAACTACCAGTTTACTGTATGTATAAATCATAGGAGATTAAAGGTGATAAACACTGCTAAGAGGAACTCGCCTGATCGTTAAACCCCCATAGCCAATCTCCTTCTCTAGAGTCGTCGTCACTTTGGCTGAAGCTCAACGTTGTTCTCTGCTTCACTCTCTTTACAGCATTGCCTTAAGGTTTTTTTCTTTTTTCTTTTTTATTTGTTTCATATATTTTGGGTTCTTTTTCTAGAAGGGCACTTTCATGAAAGATTTAAGGATCAACGTACATATTAGCACAAAAATTGATTTCCTATGATCCTTTTTTTTTGTTTAATATATTTAGGGTTCCTGTTTTTAGAAGGGGTATATTTAAGGATCCACGTACATATTAACATAAAACTGAAAGAAAAAAAAAACCTGATTTCTGTGAGATTATGTCCTTCTGTTAGTTTTTTTTTTTTTATTTCAAAATTCTCATCTGTTTCTCTCTCCTTTTTTTTTCTTTTTTTTTTTCTTTTTTTTTATTTTTAAAAAAAAATTAATGAAATTTGCAAGAAGCTGATCCTTGTGGCTTTTGATCCTCAGAGCTGTTTCTCTTTTTTTTTTTTTTTTTTTTCTTTTTTTCTTTTTTTTTTTTGTTCCTTTTTTTTATTGTTATTTAAATATTAATTTTTTATTCTGGAGAAAATGGATGATGACGATGTGTGGAACAAAAAAACAAAAAAACAAAAGAAGAAAAAGAAAAGGATCATACTTCTTTCAAATATTCTTGTCAATCGAGTGATGAAGCATGAGAGAAACAAGATGGTGGAGAGAGAGGGCTGAAGATGATGCCGCAAAGAGAGAGATTCCTTGGAAAAAATAAATAAATAAATTTTACTTTACCCGATCTCATTCGGATAGGATCTGATTTATTTTATTTTCCTGATCTCTTTAATAAAAGAAAAAATGATGTGTTTTCTTTTCATTGGACCACATAAACGGTGATGATAGTATAGATTATCATCAGTGAGGACCTAAAAATTGTCCTATTACGATTACTCTGTTCAGTAATTTAATAATCTTATAAATTATATTTATTTTCAAGTTTTAAGGTTGATGACTATGCTTACTGTCTAGATATATATATATTTTTTTCCTTTTAAAATTAGGATCCAGACACTTTTTTGTTATATAATTTATTCTATATAAACCATTAATTGAAATCATCTAAAATTATATGATTAATTCTAAAAAATCCCAAAAAATTTTTAGTAGATACTCTTTGAGGCCAACATATTTGAATAATCCGAGTACCAGATTTCAAGATGGACGATACTTACGCCCTCACCAATAAGTATGGAGACTATTGTGACTATTGATGTGGAGCAATAGTAAATGAACATGTCTTATTTAATTACCAGATCATGAATGATAATTAACTCATGACTATTTCTGATTTGGTAAGTGAGTATGTATCACATCGTATGTAATTAAAGAGGATATGTTCATATACTATTGGTCCACATCAGTTAGCAAAATGAAATACATCATCACTTGTGAGAACCTAAGAATTGTCATTTCAAGAATTGACATTTGAGTTCTTCTAACTCAACGAGTCTATAAAATTTATAAACCAAAAGAATGTCAGATTTCACAAATTAAATGCTTAACCATAACTTTGTAAATACATAAAACCACAAAACCTTATAATCTAATGACCTATTATTATAGGAGTAATGCACATAAAAGGACCATTTCATGCAAAAAGTTATGAACTCTTCATTTTTAATTATTGGATGAAACAATTTTGTTGAGATGCGTGGAAAGTCAAATCAATTATTTAACACAACTAAGTTAAAGAATGGAGACCTTAAGACTCTTCCCATGAAAGTGTCCTCTTAGGTACATTACTCTTATCATAATATATTATGTCAACGTTTTATCTTTGCTTGGTCTTATATGTTGAAAAAGACATATTTAATGGCAATGATAATGAAGTCATCTTGTAATTTTTCAAATGTTAAAAAGTTATTGAGAACAATATTTATAAGTTTTCTGACTATATAGGACAAGATTAAAGTTTGCCCCTGCTCTGCCACTGTCTTAGTATCTCATATCCTTTGAAAGCTTCGGTATTTGAGTATGAAGATGTAAGAAAATTCACTCTCTATATTAGAATGGATTTTCTCACACTCCAAAACCTCCCCTAGTCCTTCCTTCTCTAGCTTCTATTTATAGAAACTTACACTGGCCCTAATTTCTTAGATTCTGGCCTTAGGTTGTAGGTTGATTGGCCTTTTTCCTTTATGGGGTGGTTCGTTTACACCAAACAGGCCATAACAAAAGCATGTTTTCATTATTTTTTACTAAATACAATAAGGGCCTGAACTATGGACCTCTTGGATGATGAGCAGCCTAGTTGGTTGGGTCTGTTGGGCTGCAGCTGGCCTGGTTCAGACCCATTTTCATCTCCTAACTTTTTATTTGCCCCTTTAAGTTTGTTATAATAATTAAAATGAGATTAAAGTGTAATGACGGTAACGAAGGCTGTGATTGGACATGACAATCTGAGGGGATGTGTACGGGCGAGCCATGATTGCTTTTGGCTTCTAACCTCCCCACATGAAGGCCTCAAGCTCTTATAAATTGAAGGTGGCTTTGTCCATTTCCCTCTCTTGTCACTGTCAAGTACATCTTTTGCAATCTCCGTACTCCAATCCTCAAGCTTCCCTCCGGCAAGAGTCTGTGTTTTCCGGCGATCTTCCTTGTTTTCATGCTTTCTTCATCTTTAAGGTTAGTTTTTTTCTTTTTGCAACTCTTCTCTTTTTCTTTCAACCTTTCTCCCATTACCATGGGCATTAACATCGAAGCCCTTTGCCGCTGTAACATTCTTGACGGTGTCACCACCCGTCTTTATTCGAACGATGAAGGTGCCAGCACCGGGAGGGGCCTTGAAGATGATGAAATCTTGTTTACCCCCTCCTAACTCTGTGTGATTAGGTTTCCCCTTCATCTTCTATTCCACTCGATCCTCAATGTCCTAGGGTTGGCCACACTTCAGCTTAATCCTAACTTCTATAGGATCATATCTGCCATGATGCTCTTAAATTTGGAACAGGGTCTTCAACTAGACGTGTTCGACTTTTCTTTTACTACAAAGTGATTAGGATCAATAAAACTGGCATTCAGTATCAATTCCATCCAATCACCGATTGGAAGATCTGCATTGACAATTCTGTTCAGACAAGAATTGGAAGAAAAATCCTATTATCATTGGGGAAATTGGAAGTCACGTCAGACCCCTCTGCCTATCATACCTAGGGAGTTTGGGATGAGTGCCTTTCCAACCTTCACTCCATACAAAAAACATACCTATGAGTGCACATGTGAAGAGTGTCTTCCACAATTTTGTGGTTTCCTTTCCCATGACTTGGGATTTCCATCCAACTTCTTTGATTTCAAGATTTGCAGAGCAAGGCTTAGGATTCTACAGTTGTCCGTTTGGAATAACATTCCTAAAGCCTCCATTCTCTTAACAGAAGAAGCTTTAAGGAGAATCACAGTTGCAGCAAGCCTTATTCTACCAATGGAAGATACCTCAATCCTCACTTTTGATCGGCAAGGCATGGAGGAATGAAAAGCTTGCCCTTGTCAATCCCCCCCTCCCCCACCACCCAGACTGCTTCTTCTCAAACTACCTCCACTTTGCCCAGGAGATGCAAGAAAATACACTCTCTATATTAGGAAGGATTTTCTCACACTCCAAAACCTCCCCTAGACCTTCCTTCTCTAGCTTCTATTTATAGAAGCTTGCACTTGCCATAATTTTTTACATTCTGCCCCTAGGTTGTAGGTTGTAGGTTGATAGGCCTTCTGCCTTTATGGGGTGGTCCGTTTGCACCGAACAGGCCCTAACAAAGGCCTGTTTTCATTATTTTTGACTAAATACAATTCGGGTCTGAACTATGGACTTCTTGGATGATGAGCAGCTAGCCCAGTCGGTCGGGTATGTTAGGCTGCACCTGCCCGGCCCAGGCCCGTTTGCATCTCCCAACTCTTTCGAGTCTGTCCAAGAGTATTGTGGGAACTCTTTGTCACGTTTCTTTGAATTCCCCAGTTCGGCGGATCCATCTCAATCAGCTTGAATTCAACCGACCAATATATTTACTCTTTAATGAGCAGCCAACTTAAATTCAGCCGACCAGTATATTTGCTCTTAATGAGCCTTTGCTTAATGACAAAAATAATCTGGATAGAGATAATTTGTACCTAAGAGAGAGCGTGCCAGAACCTTTTATTTAATCTGATATAAAAACACCAATATTTCAATCTTAAACTTCTTAAAATTTTATTTTTTTAATTTATTTTGCACCAAAGGGTTGGGGCAATTGAAGAGGGAATATAAGAGTAACAGAACAATAATAATAAATAAAAGAGCTTAAATTATAAACAAATGTGATTTGTTATGTGATTACTCAGTAGGCTACACGGTAACTTTGAAAGTAAAATAGGCTCTGAAAGATGTCCAAGAACTTAAATTAGTGTCTAAAATATATTTTCTTGAAACTAATTCAAGACAATGAACACTGAAGTCTTACTTGGCTAGTAGGACATATAATTGCGTGAAATCCTCTTTCAATCGTTGAGTAAAAAAAAAAAAAAACATGCTCAATTGCTCAATGATAGAGGGGTTGTTATTTTTTATGGATGTAAAATAATTTAAAGGAGAATTAATTTTTATCTACTCAATAAAAGTTTAAAACACCTTTAAATGTGTAACAAATAGAATCTATTGAAGTATTGAACTTTATATTTCTAGAATGACAGATTTGTACACACCAGAAAGAAAATTAGTAATTAAGTTGTCTTCAGATAAAGTTTCGTCACCATGAATTTAATATATATGTAAATATATAACCATATCAATTAAGAATGAATGCAATGCAATACAAATACTCTGAAAGCTTGTGCATGTCTTGCGGTTGTCCACTACATTTACATATTTATGCATAGCATGAACAATAAAAACCTGAAAACTTGTCTGTACAGATATATCCAAGCCATGATAGACCAATTGTAAATCACATCAATCAAATTTTGAGGAGCATAAGAATATAAACACACATAGAATAGAAAAGAAACTGATATAAGAACCCAGTTTTAAAGAGAACATATATAAATATACTAACATATATATAACTGTGTGTATGTGAGTCTCTATGGGCGTTGTTATTGTTTGTCTTTGAAAATGGCATACCATTTTTTAATTTAATTTTTTGTTTTTTTTTTTTTTTAGGTTGGAGATTGCAACTAATGTTTTTTTATTCTTTTTTTTTTTTTTTTGGTTCTTTCCCTGAAATGTAGCTGATGAAAGCGAATCTGAATTGTGTGAATGCATCTTAGGCAAATGCATGTGTATGGTGTGTATATATACACACACATACGGGGAGAGTATAGTTAATTTTTGAAACATAAAATGCAAGGTGATCACTACTTTGAATACACACTAATTTTACCCGCAACACATGAATACAAATGAGCACTAACCGAGTTAAATGTTATGTGCCGTCTATTTACATGAAACATGCGTCATATATGCAGGCCACATGCGAGCCACAGTTTGTCTATTTGCATGAGACACACCTCATATATGCAGGCTACACGCAAGCAATGAGTGCTACTCTAAATATATAGCATGAATGGTATTAACTTTGAGTGGCCTTCTACATTTGTGTAGAGATTATAAAGTAGTATAGAGACAGATATACGAGGATTCTAAAATTTTAGAGAGTTTGAAACAGATTTTTGAAGAGTATAAAAATTTTATACAGTTGGTAAATATTTAGATATTTAGGTAGAGAGTTCTAAATGCTATAACTTAATTATTGATTTTTGTTCATTCGTAATAAAGATGCCTACATATTGACAAGAGTATTATTTGTAACATAGACATAAAACAGTGGAAGAAGCCCACCAAAATTGCGAGTCACTAGCGTATGAATCAGAGTTTGGAGAAATATGTGAAGGAGTTGTATTGACCAAATAAGTATTCAAAAGTTCAATTATAACAATTTTAACATGCATGTATGTAACATTAGTTTCGTAACCCAATTGTATTTAAGTACATAGTGAATACCTAGATGACGAGCTAACTGATATAGCACGTTGTAACACGAATACATTGGTTTGCATATGCCGAGCTAACTGATTTAACACGTCGTAACACGAATACATTGCTTTGCATGTATCGCAACACGTGCTAAGCATGCCGAATATTATCATACAGTTGTCAGATATCCACACTTTTTTAATTACATGCCACGCAACATGTTGCTAACATGCAACGATACAACTGTCACACGACTTTTTTATCTCAACATATATATATTTGAGAAATCCTGTATAAAACTCATCATTCCCTTAATAGTTCTGTTCCTGTTCGCATTCGTAAGATGAACCATCTATACAAATCAATCATAGAAAATAGTTTGTGTGATCCTACCTCCTCCAAAATTCATACAGATTGATTATAGTTTGTGTGATCCTAATCCAAAAATTCGTTAGTTTCCTGAATTGAACAATGGCCTTTGAGGTGCCCTCCTTGCTGAAGAAACGTGTTCTGGCACAACAGATTTATGTTGCAGAAAAGTGTTGTCGCTCAGCTGATTCAACTAGTAGACAACTGTCCCAAATGTAATGTTGCGTTATTTGCATTTTATGTTATGTGTCGATATATTTTGAGTTTTTGCTTTTTATTAGTTGATTAATTCTCGCTCCTCCTAGTCTGATATAATTCTTGGTTGATTGTCAATCTGAAATGGGCATTGGTTTTCAATTATTTGCAGATCAAACCTAAAAAAGAAAGGAAAAAGAAGCTAAAATAGTGACCAAGTGCATTGGAGGCAAGCTCGATTCAAGAAAAAGGGGTGAGCATTTTTTGATTTCTTGCTGGTTGGAGCTGTTATTGGTTGTGCACAATGGAAATAGAGGCACCACCACCACCACCATTTATAAATACTGATCTAAGAGAAGGAGATGAAATTGCGATTTGGCCGGACTTTTGTTCTCTTCGATTGGTGCACTTCCAACCAACCCTGGGTTACAGGACACCGGTCTAGTTTGTTAACACGCAATGGCTCTAATATATGTTCCTTCCATTCGGTAATTAGCGTCATGGCTTTCATATGTATTCCTTCTGTTGGGCGTTGGGTGAGTTATTTTTTGGAGGGAAAATTACATATAAATGGAGTCAAAGTTCCATATTTACTTAGAGACTGAGTCAAAGTTCCATATTTCTCTAAAATGGATTGCTGAGGTGGCACATGGTTTTTTACTGTTTAGAAATTGTGGTGCCTAAAATACCCTTCCGCGAAGGTACTACTTTTTCTTCGAAGGTACTACTTTTTTGAACTGAAGGTACTACTTTTTGGCGTCCAGGTACCATGTTTTTTAAACACCCGCGAAAGTATTACTTTTTTGAACTGAAGGTACTACTTTTTTGTTAGGAAAGGGCGTTTTAGGCACCACAATTTTCTAAACAGTAAAAAACTATGTGCCACCTTAGCAATCCATTTTAGAGAAATATGGAACTTTGACTCAGTTTCTAAATAAATATGAAATTTGACTCCATTTATATGTAATTTTCCTTTTTTTTGGTCCAATCATCATGAAAGTAGGTTTTTATATATACGGCTGGGCCATGCGCGTATGTCATTCATTATCTCCTGCAACAGTCAATCTACAACTATATGAAGGTGCTGAACCAATAAGAGCAATACACATAGTCAATCTGCAACAGTTATATAGTAATGTTTCATCCATCTGATATCACCATATGATCGTTACAGATTGACTATGTGTATTGTTTTATTTTTGGTTTTGTACCTTCATATCATTGCAGATTGACTGTGTTGCAGGAGATAATCAATGGCATAGGTGCATGGTCCAACCACATATATGGAAATCTATTTTCATGATGAATGGACAAAAAAAAAAAAAACTGACCCAACACCT